CTGGACTTGTCGAAAAAGAGTGAATTGAACATTGTGCACATCCGTAAAGATTTACAGATAGAGTGTTAATCATTTAAGTCAAAACTTCGGAGCGTCTTGAACTGTCTACGCCAGTTATGCAGCTATTTTAGCTCATTTTAGGTAATCCAGTGTCTCTGCGAATAATCCTCCAAGACAAACTAATTAGTAAAATGTATACAACAATCAACATATTTGGAGCACTATCAAACAAATTTTATTTTCAGGATGAAAACCTTGTGATTGAAGGTAAATCTAAACTAGTGATGATATGCGTGTGACAGAACGACTAACTCGCTTTTGTTATATTCAATTGATGAATGAAAGTATGCGATACGTATAAGCAAAGAGTCAAAGAGGCATAAAAAAGAGAAAGAAAGATAATTGATATATGCACATATATGTATGCATGTAGCAAATGTCCCTGAGCATGGCTATGAAGAATAATGAAGGATATAATCCGTCAAAATGGATTTTGTTTTTCATAACAGCTACATCATTATGTGGAAGGACGCTGATAAATTTTCTTCTCTTTCTCTTCTCCAAGAATGCATTCACATCCGTATCTAAACGTTAAATAGAGAACGGATCACAAACTAAGAAAAAGGCTTGATTACTTTTGTGTTTACATATACTGTTTACTCAACTTTCATAATCATGACGATTGCTTTGGTCGATGCACCAGAAGGAACCAGTCCTTGGCAGCCTCTATCTTTAGTAATAGCTGTGGGGCTTGGCAGCACTCTAGTGATAATTGGCATGGCACTGGGTTTAGGCTTAGGTATCGGACTAAACAATGACAGCATAAGTTTAGTGCAGGTGGCCACAACAACATCAACGGTGACTACTACAATCATCACTAGCAGTAGCTCAACAATATCTACAATACCCATAACAACATTCATAACAACATCCATAACAACATCCATAATAACAACAGGTTAGTTGCTTGATCAGTATGGCTTTCTGTGTGTTGCACTCTATATCAGGTTCTGTTTCAATCAGATTCATTCAAGGACACTTCATGATTCATCATATCAATCTATCTGTATAGAGTTGTAAGAAACAATAGCAAAATACAAAAATTCTGCTTATCTTGTTTCATGATTTTTTAGTGCAACTATCTATCATTGGATATCAAGTTTCTTTATTTCTGTTAGTTTTTTTAATATCAACATTTCAAATAGCACCAGAAGTCTTAATAGGATACAGTTAGTAATGAATTACAAGAAAGTTTTGCTGTCTTCTTTCTCATATTACTTAGTTACTTAGCCTTTCTATATAGTATGCAATCAATCAATTTCAATTTTCAATATATGAAAATATTGGTATCTCAAATACTTTGTAACTAAATTTATTCCTTGCTTTTTGCCAGATTTGATTTCTTAAACAGAGAATAGCATGGAACTTGTGATGATACAGTTTGCTTTCGAGCATCAGACGATAGGACGTTCTGTGTTTCGCTACATATTTCGCTAAGCGTCAAAGGAACATCGACAGAACCAACTTCATATATGTATGTGAACTTCAAGAAACACGATTTCTATATGACCTTCAACAACTATAAGGAAAATGTACATCTTCTCGATCCTTGTCTGGAACAGTTATAACTACGGGTAATACTTTATCCTTATATTATGTTATTTCTAACGGTAAAAAAAAAGTTATTCTTATCTATAGCAATAACAAAAATAATTGTTTCTTTTTAATAACAGATATATAAGAGATAACATATGATTTTTGAAAAACTCAAGTTTTAACTTGAAGACACTCTTGACAACACTAGTGATGACTAGTCATTCTGTTATGATCATTGTGTAACTTACTAGGTATGAGTTCCATTAGATTGGTTTCGGATCTAGATTGTTAGATGAAACTATTTGATACTCTGAAAAGATATCATTTGATGCTTTTTTCAGCTGATATTTTGATTGTATGCTACTTTCAGAAAACGCTAATTGGAAGTACTACTTCGCTTCTAATCGATTGATATATATTACATCTATCAATTTCGCAATATTACGACTGTTTAAAAGTCATATTTTGAACATTCATTTTCACGTAACACAGCATTTCAAAGGCGTATGATGGAGCTAGCCCAAGTGGAAGCTTTATGAGAAATTTACCCGACATGGTAAAGCTTTTTGATGTTGGCATTGGAAGCTTCCTCGAAGAAGTAGACATTAGTCACCAGTCCGGCGTCGATAATTTGAACTAGTCCTAATTATTTATGTTAGGAATTTTATCGATGCAGTTTTGTGAGATACCAGATGACTGTTATCAATTTTAGAGCCATAATTAATTGAGAGCTGAGAGATAGTCATCGAAAACCTATGCTAAGCTACAGATTGGTAATTGATGAAGGCTAGATTTTGGGTGTTACTCTACGAAATGATGTATGCAATTGAGGTTATCTGAACTCTACATGCACTCAAAATGTCAGCTCGAAACAGTAGCAATTGATAATAGTTCAGAGGCTAATCTAATATGACTGACACCGAGTATGTTCAAGAATGATAATAAAAGAACGAATAGTCGTCACTAGTGCTTTTAAGATTTTCTTCAAGTTGAAACTTAAGTTTTTCAAAAATCAAATGTAATCTCTTATTTTTTATGTTATTTAAAACAAATAACTTTTTTTACATCTATGAATATTATAGCATAAGAAAATCTTATCATCCGTAGTTACAACTGAACGAATGACAAGTGTCACATGTATAAAAGTCTTATAAAAAAAACTCTGTAAGCTGATACTAGCTTGATGTAAAGCTAACTTTACGAGATATGGTGATAAATTACAATTACGTTTGATAACAAATCCTTTCTTTCAAATAATAAATACATTGACCGTTAAATAAACACATTTACTCTACTGCGTACCAGCACGATTGAAATAGCTAGAGAAAATGGAAAAAGTTTTAGAAGCCATTTTTATCGAATGATTGTTGCATTCTTCAATTCAATTTTACATAATTCAGTCGAAAGACATATGATAAATTCTAATAAAATGAATACAAATAGAGGCTTTAGGATGCAAACTTAAGATCTTTTATCGCCTATGATATGTTATTCAAAACACATTGAACTATAACAGCTTCATGTCACTTTAGGTCTGATGAAGCAATTGATCAGTTTCAATTCGTAGGAATGAATCTGGTTTAATAGTTTAAACTTCGAGAAGTTGCTTTAGTACTCAATCTCACATTACCATACTCACATCGGCAGTAGAGTTTGTTTAGAGAATGTGCCGTAAGGTACTTTATCAGAAGCATATCAACAGTTCAAGTAGCTACGAAAAAGTATTGCAAAGTAATCTAACACATGCCAAGCAAATAGAATTAATCAACTAGGTTCGAAGAATTTTAAAACAGCTGTTTCGAGCTGAGAGTATTACAATCCTGGTAAGATGAGATCGATTCGCTACGACAAGAGGTGATGAATCAAAAGAATAGACATTAAAATATATAACAAAAGTGAACTATCAGTTGATCAATCAAAAATAACTTAGAGACAATCAAAAGAATGCAACAATAGGTTAATAAGAGTTCTAAGATCGTATAATACAAACAAACATTTTCGAAAAAATTCATGAAATATGTTCCTGAGATGAGCGATTAATACAAACTTGAAAATAGACTATGTACATTTTTAAGCTTTCCTTATAGAGCACATATTGAAAATAACTTTTATACAACTATAAGTATGAATCGTAAGATATCATAAAGTGGTGAATGAAAATTTTCGAAAAAAATAATTGGTTTTGAATATCGACTTTCTTAAAGAATATCCGCAAGAGAACCAGAAAATCAATGTACTGGTCATGAATTTAAGGTTTTTTTATGTTCGTTTAAAAGTCTATGATTCTGAATGATCAAATTCAAAATGTTATCTCATTTATATGTACGATAGTAAAGCTAGCTAATATTAATTGGTGAGCACTAGCAATCTTCGATCGAAACCATAGTCAAAAATAGTGCCGTAAATATTTATTATGATTATGTTTCAACCATGCAGAGAATTTTGTCCGATAATTTACTAAAAGACGAAACATCAATAGCTAAATAAATGAGCTACTTCAATTGTCACATAATATATATTTACTAGCATATTGTAGTTGAATATAGGTAAGAAAGATCACAATTAATGAGTCCATAATGATTGACCTTTCACAATATATCTACTGTCACTTTTTTGTCATTGAAAGGCAGCACATATAATGTGCAATGTTGACTATTATTGCCTCATAAATTGTAACCTATCGCACTGATGTTGAACTAGATACCTCTGGTAAATATATGATATATATTGATTGAAATAGCTTCTTCTTTGGCACCTGATAATTCTTTATCTTTTAGTATATTAAGCGACAGAATTTTCTTATGAAGTCGATATTAGCTAAGTTTACTATAGTTCATCTAAATAACTTATATGTTTTGATTTTATGATTTTAGATGATCATCTTTTGAATGCTCATTAAGAATTATTAAATTTAAAGTTTCACTAGTGCCTCGTATACTATACTTGAGTGATCCATGGCTCTTTATGAATACTCTCTTAAGAATAGTGAACAATAGTAATATTCATTTCTTTTCGATAAAAGTATATCAATTGTCATATGAGATAGATTCACCTCTTCACCTTGAATGGCACAACAATGTGCATTAATCAGTTGTCATCAAAGTCTCGCCAATATCTTGATTTCCTTTTGGTTGAGACTCACTTTTTATCAGTCATAAATCCTTTTTATAATTAGCATTAAGATGGAAACTTGATTGTAATCCTACTCTATAGCACTATATTTAAGTTAACCTTGAAGCGAATACTTCATAAATGAGTTGTTGTATATACTAGTTAAATACAGTGATTGAATATTTCTTTTTTCGTGTTGTGCATTCATTTAATGTGGCATTGTTTCAGCGGTGTCCTGTACGAATATTTTTGGGCCATCAACCACTATTACAACGGGATCTCAGCCAATATCTATGACATCAGGTGATTTTAACGGTGATACACTATTAGATTTAGCTGTAGCCAATTTTGGTAGTAACAATGTCGGCGTGTTTCTTGGTAATGGTGATGGTACCTTTAAAAATCAGGTGACTTTTGCAGCTGGCACAAGTCCAAACTTCGTAATAACAGACAATTTCATCAATAATAGTGTAGCAGATCTTTTTACGGTCAACACCCTTAGTCAAAGTATCAATGTGCTACTTGGCAATGGTAATGGGACATTCCAATCACCGGTAACTAATAATATGAGTGAAATTCCGTTGTCTTTGACGTCAGCTGATTTTAATGGCGATGGTAGAGAAGATGTAGCTGTTACCAGTGTTAATAATACTGTCAACATTTTCTTGAGCAATGGCAATGGCACATTTCAGAACAGTGGAACGTATTCGACAGGCAATATCCCAATCAACATAATAGCTGATTTTTTTAACGATGATTTAATCTTGGACCTTGCTATTACAAGTAGCGGCAGTAACTACGTTGGTGTGCTTCTTGGTAATAATAATGGAACTTTCCAGAATCAGGCAACATATCCGACAGGCACGACACCTGTCGCTGTAGTATCAAATAATTTTAACAATGATACAATACTAGATCTAGCCGTCGCCAACAATGGTAATAATACTGTGAGTGTGCTACTTGGTAATAGTAACGGGACTTTTCAGACTCAGACAACATATCCGACAGGAACCAATCCGAGCGATATCGCGGCCGGTGATGTTAACAATGATGGAAATGTAGATCTCATTGTAACCAACTCAGCTGATAACACTATCAGTGTACTTCTTGGAAATGGCGATGGTACCTTTCAGACTCAGAGAACATATGCAACAGGCACCAATCCGCAGTCTCTGGTACTGGCTAATTTCAATAATGACACAAAACTGGATCTTGCTGTGGCCAATTTTAATGATAGTACTCTTAGAATTTTTCTCAATACATGTTAGTAAATGACTTTTAAATATCTACTTTGACAAGACATGAACGAAGAAGCAATTTTACCTTTTTGAACGTTATCAGGAATTATATAGCATATCAGTTTTTTCTGTAATTGGTGACTAACAACGAAAAAAACATTTTCCTCGTGCGGTATGTGTTTAATGTCAAGTTTAGTTGTATTCTCTTGTAGATGCTTTTAACTTTTGATTCTATATGATATTTCTACTAACCTTTCTGTTATCTTACAAAAATAAAGAGTCAAGTTTTCTTGTACAAATAATCAATAGAAGGAAGATTTCAAATTTGATAGTATTCACTCGTTGTGAAAAATAACCTATAATGAAATGAAACAGAAAACGTAAAGAATTCTCAACTTTGATGCATTCGAAGTTTTTTTACTGATTTCTCGTCAACGTACATGAGTTTCCGAGATGATGAATATCGAATTTTCAGATCGTTGCTATCACGAATTCTGCATCGACAAACAGAATTATGTTGAATCTAAATAATGTGTGAAAGCGCATTGAAATAGATATGACTATGATTCGATGCAGATACCTAGTAAAAAAAAATGAAGAACATCTAGAAGATGAAATCAATTGATTGAGCACAAAAATATTATAAAATATAAATGACAACACTTGTTTTCGTTGTTTGATGTTTGAATGTTGCAGATCAAACAATCTTTTCCATTTCTTATTGTCATTCTCTTCGACTAAATGAAGAATCTCATTGTTGTTTCGTTCAGTTTTTTTCTAGAAGTATTAATCAAATATTTGATTTGAAGTTGTACGATTTCACATGAAAACTTACAAATGTTTGGACGGAACTTCAAAGATTCGACGAACTTTCTTTTCAATAAAAATTCTCAAGACTAAAGTTGATTACACAAGATGATAGAAAATTTAACTTCTTTCAGAATCTGATATGGCTTTTAAAATTTGTCTCCACTGCAGTTATATTGTGAAAAAAAACAAAAAATAACAATTATTGATAATTAACAGTTTAGGATGTATTTATCATACTCCAATTTTTTCAGTTAATTTATCAAATACAGTAGATAAATAAATGAAATGACAGAGAATTTTGAAGTTCTATACGTAAATATAATTATTATATTTAAAGGGTAATTCGAAAGTAGTGAAAAGTTTCGGAAATTGGTGTTGATCATAGTAACAAAATGAACCCTACGACAATTTGATGGCGAGAATACTTTCATTATACTCGATTTTCTTCTTAGTAAAGCATGCGTTTAAACTTAAATACAAACACACAGCGTGCTAGAAAAGTGAAGGCGCTTTCAGAATATGTAATTGGTTAGTCTTAAAATTTGATTTTATAATAATAATGTATTGAAAATATGGAGTGCAACTATGTTTTCTGAGCATGCAAATATACGTATAACAATCTATGGATATCATTTTTTTTGTTGAATCAAGATTTCAAGTCATACATTAATCATTTTTTTCTTAAAAAAAAACAGTTTTACTACTATAAATATGATAGAGATTCAGGATTTATTTAGATACTTCCAAGTTATATGTCACCTTCATTTTAATGATGCGTTGCCTACATACCTAATTTCAAGGAAATATTTTCCAGCAGCGTTGAATGTTAAGTATTTGTTAATGCAAGACTGTTTTAACCTCATGCAAAAAAAGAAACAATCAAGAAATATTGATGTTCATGGATTTAAAAACATACTAGTTTTCATGACAAACTGCACATGAAGAAAATATATGATATAAATGAATTTATAATTGATATCATTTCATCAGTTGATAATTAATAATAAATTCGATTTAGCAATACTAATCTTCATATTTTTGACGATGAAATTTCTATTGTAGTCATAATAATAATAATAAAAATAGCATAAATGTGATAAAACCAACAATGTAGATGCTATTCTTTGTATTTACCAATCATGAAGTTTGACGTTGACAAAATTCATAGTTTTATTTATTTACGTGTATTTCCTTGATGAAAAACTTTATGAATAAATTGATGTTTTAAGTTCTAAATTTGAGAACGTGTGACATAACTTCATGAAAACAATAAAATATATCTGATTAATTGAACGAGTGGAATACTTTGTTTAGGGCTTAATTTCGTAATGATGCTGATATCATGCATAGGAATGTGGGTTTTCTGCACTCTTCCATCTACACCAACTCTCTGAACTGAAGTGGAGTTCGAAAAATTCAAAATGAAATGAAAAAGAAATCTAGTAGATCTTACATGATTAGGTATATATATTAAACCGATGTGGTAAATTTTGGTGTAGATCTGCCATAGATACCATAAGACTGTCCATGAGCAGATAACTAATGCAGACATAAGTAGAAAATGGCAAGACTTTTCTACGTAGCTCCTAATATTGTTAAAATGTTGAATTTACATAGTAGTTTGACCCTAAGAAGAGAAAACAATCAGAGATATGATGCAGAAAAGAAAATGAAAACCCAATTAATCAATGGACTTCACAGAAAATCTATTTTCTGCACTATTTAGTTCGTTTTGATACTTTAATGGAAGAGATTCGAACACTGATTGCATACAATCGTAATGCTTCGTTATACTTACTTGACTGCTTTACAAAGGACTAACTTCTTGCATTTGTGGTACAATCAAATAATAGTAATAGCCGTTTATAAGTCGTAAACACCAATCAGATGCAGAAGACTGATTAGATAACGCGTGCTCTTTTGTCATAGTCGACCTTCAAAATGTTTATTTCGAACGATTCTTATTTTTCATTCGATTCCTATTATGAAGATAAACACAAGTGATACTTTTCAAGAACCTTCCATAAACAATAAACAGCTGTTCCCTGTAAGCCAGTTTTCCAATCGACAAATTAAAGAAAAGGTAGTGTGCACAAATTAAATCAATATTATCTAAGCAAATTGAATTTCATCGATTTCCCTAACATGAATAGTTACAGCTATTTCTCTCGATATCATCTCCCTTTGTGCTTCTTTGCGCATGCCGATGATTATTTGCCTGCTTGTTATTATTGAGTGCTTCGTTCATTCAGTACGATCTTAATCACTATTGCTCTTTCTGACAATCTTGTCTCATACAAATCATCTTCATTCTTTAGGATTTTTATTGTGAAGAAAGTTCGTCGAATCTTCGAAGTTCCGTCCAAACATTTGTAAGTTTTCATGTGAAATCGTACAACTTCAAATCAAATATTTGATTAATACTTCTACAAAAAGAAAACTGAACGAAACAACAATACGATTCTTCATTTAGTCGAAGGGAATGTTAATAAGAAATGGAGAAGATTGATTGATCTGCAACATTCAAACATCAAACAACGAAACCAAGTGTTGTCATTTATATTCTATAATATTTTTCTGCTCAGGCAATCGATTTCATCTTCTAGATGTTCTTCGTTAACCTTTTTGGAATTGTTCTTCATTATTTTTTCACTAGGTATGTACATAGAATCACAGTCATATCTATTTCAATGCGCTTTCACACATTATTTTGATTCAACATAATTATGTTTATCGGTAAGGAATTCATGATAGCAACGATCTGACAATTCGATATTCACCATCTCGGAAACTCATGTACGTTGACGAGAAATCCATAAAAAAAACTTCGAATGCATCAAAGTTGAGAATTCTTTACGTTTTCTGTTTCATTTCATTATAGGTTATTTTTCACAACGAGTGAATACTATCAAATCTGAAATCTTCCTTCTATTGATTATTTGTACAAGAAAACTTGACTCTTTATTTTTGTAAGATAACAGAAAGGTTAGTAGAAATATCATATAGAATCAAAAGCTAAAAGCATCTACAAGAGAATACAACTAAACTTGACATTAAACACATACCGCACGAGGAAAATGTTTTTTTCGTTGTTAGTCACCAATTACAGAAAAAACTGGTATGCTATATAATTTCTGATAACGTTCAAAAAGGTAAAATTGCTTCTTTGTTCATGTCTTGTCAAAGTAGATATTTAAAAGTCATTTACTAACATGTATTGAGAAAAATGCTAAGAGTATTATCATTAAAATTAACTACAGCAAGATCTGGTTTTGTGTCATTATTGAAATCGGCCAGTACCAGAGATCTTGGACCGTTACCTGTTGTATATGTTCTCTGAGTCTGAAAGGTACCATCGCCATTTCCAAGAAGTACACTGATAGTGTTATCAGCTGAGTTGGTTACAATGAGATCTACATTTCCATCATTGTTAACATCACCGGCTTCGATACCGCTCGGATTGGTTCCTGTCGGATATGTTGTCTGAGTCTGAAGAGTCCCGTTACCATTGCCGAGTAGCACACTTACAGTATTACTACCATTGTTGGCGACGGCTAGATCTACTATTGTATCATTGTTAAAATCACCTGATACTACAGCGACAGGTGACGTGCCTGTCGGATATGTTGCCTGAGTGCGAAAAGTTCCATCATTATTGCCAAGATGCACACCAACGTAGTTACTGCCACTACTTGTAATCACAAGATCAAAGATAGTATCATTGTTAAGATGTAAAGTTATTATGTAGCTTGGGTTATTGCCTGTCGAATACGTGTCATTACTGAGAAAGGTACCATCATCATTGCCTAAAAGGATGCTGACGGTATTATCACCAGCATTTACAACAGCTAGGTCTTGTATATTATCTGGAAAAAAATTACCCGATACTACTGAAACTGGATGTACACCTGTATTGTGAGATAACGCTGTCTGGTATGTTCCATTACCATCGCCAAGCAGCACACTGATGGTGTTAGAGCCGGTGTTTGCCGTAACGAGATCCAGATGGGTATCGTTGTTGAAATCACCTGTTGTTACAAAGTCTGGGTTTATGCCCGTTGTATAAGGAACCTGACTTAGAAAGGTACCATCACCATTACCAAGAAACACACCGACATTGTTACTACCAAAATTGGTTACAGCCAAATCTAATAGTGTATCACCGTTCAAATTTTCTGATATGATAGAAATTGGCTGAGATCCAGTTGTGATAGTGGTCG